GTTGCAGATTTTGCTTTTCTTGTGGGAGCTGCTGGGTCGAGAGAAGCGTGGTCCTCTCCCCTCCCCACCAGGTGTATGCTCGTCCACTGATATTCATGTACTCTGAAAAGGGGGAGTCGTCTGGCAAACATGTCACCTTGCCCACTGGATTTAAGACTCCCATCTGACCAGATATTGTGAACATTGTTCACACAGACAGCCCTGTGCTGTCAGTGAATTAGCAGGTCAGCAGAGCAGTGTTGAGTCTTGAGGTTCTGGGAGAGCAGTGGCTCAAATTCCAGAGTTCAAGGTGGTGGGACACCGTTCTAGGGTGCTTGTGGAAATATGTGTTGAGGAGGTCCACATTTGCAGCAACTAAGACCGGCCGGTGTTGGCACCACAGAGTGAACACAACCTGGAAGCGGTATGCCTTCCGTTCTACCCTGCCGCCTCGGCCTTCCAGCTCTATCATGTCTAGAGGTCATCGTATTGAGGAAGTTCCTGAACTTCCTTTGGTGGTTGAAGATACAGTTGAAGGCTACAAGGAGACTGAGGAGGCTGTTTTGCTTCTGAAGAAATTTAAGGCCTGGAATGATATAAAAAAGATCTATGCCTCTCAGCAAATGCTGTCGTCATATCCAGGGAACCCTGCATCATCTGTAAGGAGGACAGTGGTGTCATCAAGGCCTTCAGAATCACTCTGCTTAATGCAAGCAAACAGAACATTTTGAAAGTTGCTCCTGGTGGGTATGTGGGATGTTGCTTCGTTTGGACTGAAATTGCCTTCTGGTAATTAGATGAATCGTACGGAAATCTGTTTCCCTCTAGAGTAACTATAACCTTCCCAGGCACAAGATGATGAACACAGACTTTAGCAGAATCTTGAAAAGTCCAGAGATCCAAAGAGCCCTCCAAGCACCAAGCAAGAAGATTTCGCAGAGACCTAAAGAAGAATCCATTGAAAAGTCTGAGAATCATGTTGAAACTTAACCCATATGCAAAGACCATGCACTGGAACATCATTCTCCACCAGGCCAGGCATCACCCAAAGATGGATGCATGAAGTGGCAGCAGCAGTAGAGGCCCAATCTGATGAGAAGTGGGTTGGAGGCAAGAAGCCTGCGGGGGGGAGAAAGGAAAGGGAGTTGGTGAGAGCAGAAGAAGCTTTTGGTTGGGAAGGAAAGGCTGCAGCTACCAAGAAGCCAGCAGAAAAAAAAAAAAATCTACCACAAAAGAAAAGAACCTGCTGCATTAGACCACGGTGGCCTCTAGATCGGTGGGCCATGCTGAGGCTGCAGCGGCCACCGCAGCCAGGAGGTGGCAGCCTGGCCTGGGACTGGCCTGCTGCCCTCTCAGACTGCAGCGGTGGAGGAGAAAAATGGCAGAAGCTGCGACCGCACCGGTTTTTCTGCCCCTTTTGCAAGGGCGAGGTCAACCCCAAACTGCCAGAATATATTTGTCCCAGATGTGAATCGGGCTTTATTAAAGCAGTACCAGATGATTCCAGTGTTTTAGGCGGTGGCAGCAGCCGAATAGACAACAGCACATCAACACATTTTGCAGAGGTTTTGTCCTGAGACAGACACTGAAAGATTTCAACATGAAGATGTCTGAAAAAAGGAAACATCTCCCATATTCTCATTTCTTATCTAGGCCTGATACTTCCCATTTCTCATATGCATACCTCACAACAGTTATAGACTGTTCATTATAATCTTAGAGTACACCATGTTACATTTCTGCTTTTTAAAACTATGTCACAAATCCTTCTTTCATATTGCCATAGTTACGAGAATTATAATGTGTTGTTCCCCCCCCCAAAAAAAAAACAAACTGCTGCATCAACCCTTAAATTTGTTTATTCTGTAAAGGGTAAATCATTTTAGACGGCTTGTTTTGAATAAACACCTTGTTCAAAGAGCAGCTTAAAACATGAAGGAAAAAAAGAAAAGAAAGAAACAGTTGAAGGCTCTACACACTGTTGCCACATTAGCATGTGTTCTATGTCCAGAGGGTATTCGTCATTTGAAAAGGACAAATTAATTTAAGACATATTTATGTTATCTATTTATAAACATGAGGACCCATTCAGCTATTGCATAGAATAAGGAAGGAAGAGAAATAACAAATTCGTAGAGTTGTAAGTCTTGATAATGCTGCAATAAATCAGGTCCCTGCTAGCTCCGAGCTTTCTTTAAGAGGGCTACTGAGCACAGAAATGCGAAACGTAGTGGGAACCAGCAGTTAGCGTAATGGCTATGTCGCTGGACTCCCACGTAGTCAACCGCGGTTCACGTCCCGGACCCGGTGGCTTAAAACTCACGCCGGGCGCGTGTGCGTGTGTGCCCAAGATCCCGAGAGGAGAATGGAGGAGAAGGGATTGCGGCGTGACCATCCCCCCTGGGGGGTGATTTCTCACTTTCTGTCTCTATATCTCTCTCTGTCTGTCTGGCGAGCGCACGCGCCCTACAGTGAAAATCTCTCCAAAAAAAAAGAAAAGAAATGCAAAACGTAGTAATGGGAGCGGGGAGAGGACTCTGGAAGTCACATAGTACCGAGAGGAACTGGGCTCCTAAAGGCGATCTTATCACATTGCAATTCCTTAGGCCCAGGCTTCCTCAAGAAGATAAACTACTACTCCTGTCGGCTATAATCATTACATGCCAGGGCCAGCCTCCCAGAGCAGTGGTTAGTGCTGTGCATTGGAAACTGGATCCCAAAGGCTGACTCCAGTGCTAATCCCAGCCTGGTGGCCTGAAAAACTCACTGAAGAGGTAGAGAGGCAGCAGCATGGTGGTTAAGGCAGCTGGATCCTACATGGCCAAATGTGCCGTTTGAGTGTTGGACCCAGTGACCTGAAAAGCACAAGTGTGTGTGTGTGTGTGTGTGTGTGTGTGTGTGTGTATGTGTGAGTGCATGTGTGTGTGCATATCCAAAATCTTAACAGGAAGGAATGGAAGAGAAGGGGTTGTGGTGTGGCTATCCTCCCTAGGGAGTTATTTCTCACTTTCTCTCTCTCTCTCTCTCTCTCTCTCTCTCTCTCTCTCTCTCTCTCTCTGTCCAGCAAGTGTAAACACCCTATAACATAAAACTAGGGAAAAAAAAAACAATGGGTGCATGAGCGTACCCAAAACCTTGACAGGATGGAGAAATGGAGGGTTAGAGATTACAGTGTGACTACTCCTCCTAGGGGTGCTCTCTCTCTCTCTGACAAGTGCACACACGCTCTGGAAATTAAAAAAAATAATAATAAAATGACAATAATGGATGTAAACAGTTATTTACATTTACTGAAATTTAATATGCTGCCAATACTCATAATGCATTCTGAGCTCTGTGTTTCACATGTATTATTAGGTCGTTGGCAAAGTCGTGACGCATTTTTCTGTCTGTCTATACAAAAACGCGTCATGACTTTCCTGGTGACCCAATATTTCACTGAATCATCGCGATTTACCCAGGGTCACATAGCAGGACCAGTGCCATACCCAGGCAGAGTGGTTCTGTGGCTCCCGCTCCTACCACCACATTATATTCTGATCACAGACGTCCTCCTTCAATATGGATCTTCTGTTCCCAAGGTACTAAAGTGTCTGAGCAGCTATCCCTGAGACTCCCACCAAATGTGGTCAAAGAATCTGCCAGAGCCTCCTTCTCAGTTTGGGGTGAGTCATGTTGTCCTTGGTAAACGTGGGACAAAAGAGTTGGCGCTGTACAGCTTATCTGTATATTTGTATTCTGATTATTCAGTTGTCGATTGCTTCCGCTTCTTTTATGGCCCTGAAAGGCTCATTCTCTGTAAGTTTTCTCTTACTTAAATAAGAGAGTATAAGATGCTACACATGAAAGCTACTGTGGCTAATCACGTCGGCTACTTATGGACTGAAATCTCATCTTTCCCATTTCCCAGGTGATATACTAAGTTCTGCTATGCAAAATATACACAATCTCCTTCAGATGCCCTATGGCTGTGGAGAACAGAACATGGTGCTGTTTGCTCCTAACATCTACGTCCTGAACTATCTGAATGAGACCCAACAGCTGACTGAAGAGGTCAAGTCCAAGGCCATTGGCTATCTCATCAGTGGTATGTGGGACAGAGATGGTTTTCATTTCTATGCTAATAAGACTTTTCCCAATTAGACTTCAGCTATATCATTAAAGATTAACCCATGATGGTTATTTTTGAAAAAAGCAATATTCCTACCCTCTTATAAGATGTGTTTTGATGTATTCATAATACTAAAGTATGGCAGATCCTGGACACAGAGATCCTAACTATCTGGCTCCCAGGGCCTCAGCCTGCACGTGAATACACATTTTTCCCAATGCTTCATGAACCACCAGAAACCTTCCATTCCAGGTTACCAGAGACAGCTGAACTACAAACACCAAGATGGCTCCTATAGCACCTTTGGGGAACAACATAGCAGGAACCCAGGCAACACCTGGTAAGAGAAGAAAATCGATTCTGAGTTTCTGCTGGAAGTTCAAAGCACATGAATACATTAACCTCCTTAAGTTTTACCACACCTCTGTGAAATGAGAGTTATTAACTTCATTTTAAAGAGGAGGAAAGTTCCATTCCATGTGGATAAAGAGCTGTCCCAAGCACAAACATCTAGTAAGTGACAGAACCAAGAATATTTTGAGGTTGATACATTTTGTAACCGATATACCAAGCCCTTCTCCCATCTTCTGTTCTAGTGAACATTGTAAATTTGCAATTTGCCTCTTTATTTCTCAGCAGTGAAAAGTATTAGAGGTAGGCTAGAAAAGATACGGCCAATACTTCCAGTGCCACATCTTACTGACTTCTACTACGCACGATCCTTCCTCTCCTTCCGTCTCTCCCTCCTTTTCCCTCTCAGTCATGTCTCTCCCTTTTCCTCTCTCCTTCCCTGTCTCACAAGTCCAACCCATACAGGCAAACAAGAGAAGAATGGGGGAAGTGATGGAGAAGTAAGGATGATGTGGAGGGAAAACTCACTGTATTGGGACTGCACTGGGAGCTGGGAGCCTATGCGTGCAAACCAGAGCATTAAGATGCTGCATAAAAACAAGTAACCCAGCACACTACTCTTCCTCTTCTCTCAGGCTCACGGCCTTTGTGCTGAAGACTTTTGCCCAGGCTCGACCCTACGTCTTCATTGACGAACAGCACATTACCCAGGCCCTCACCTGGCTCTCCCAGAAGCAGAAGGATAATGGCTGTTTCAGGAGCTCTGGGTCACTGCTCAACAATGCCATAAAGGTGAACTGTACTGATAACCTCATGATACATCAATGTAACAGTTTCCAGGGGTGAAGGGAGGAAGGAGGCACAGAGAAATTGCAAAGATGAAGTCCTGTAATGTAATTGGGCACCAGGAAAAGCATATTAACCTTTCCATGGAGAAAGAAGAAATGTATAATTTGAATGAGGATGTTATTCTACCTGACAGAGAGAGGTGCTAAAAAGAGGCTCCATGGAATAACAGAAGATAAGATACTATAACTTGGAGGTAGAATTATCAAAGTCAATCCCAATCAATTTCTCTCTCTCCCTCTGTCACACAGGGAGGAGTAGAAGATGAAGTGACTCTGTCTGCCTATGTTACGATTGCACTTCTGGAGATTCCTCTTCCAGTCACTGTAGGTACCACCTCACTCTCATTCCCTATCATGAAAACTGTAGACCTGCTGTCTAGAATGCCACTCTACTAATAGCCAAGTCTTGAGTTTCCTTTGGCTCAATAACAGAGCATTTCCTTTTTTTAAAAAAAAATAATTATTATTTTATTTAACTTTATTTATTTATTTAAATTTGATGAGAGAGAGGAAAAGTGAAAAAACAAGCCACCAGATCCAGGACTCTAACCATGGTGAGTCATGGAGTCCAGCTCCCTTAACCACCATGCCATCCACTATCCCCAACAGGGCACTTCCTAAATTGATGTGCTATTTGACCAAAGCACTAAGGGGGTTTTATACTTGCCCAATAGTGACTTTGGACTTGATACCAAACCAATCCTAAAAATACAGGCTCTCTAGCCTTATTCTTTAGGATCCTATGCAAATTAAGAGATCTAAAATATTTTATATTTAAATATGATACCAGGTAGTCTACCTGATTGCCTCACCCTGACTCTAACCCATATAAAACCATTAATGATATCTGTCTGGTAATCGCCATCTCAAGGTTTGCCCCAAACTCTAGTCACCCTAGTTTAACAGCACAACCTCTTGCCTTTACAGCACCCTGTTGTTCGCAATGCCATCTTCTGCCTGGACTCAGCATGGAATGCGGCAAAGGAGGGGGTACAGGGGAGCCATATCTACACCAAGGCATTGCTGGCCTATGCTTTTGCCTTAGTTGGAAACCAAAACAGGAGCATAGAAATACTGAACTCACTCAATAAGGAAGCTGTGAAAGAAGGTGAGAACAACTGGCAAAAATAATTCCTATTCCACTTACACTAATTCTACAGAAAGAAAGGGAATATACTGCCAAAATCAATAAGCTCTGTCTGGAATTCCTGAGTCAAATCACATATTGTGGGATCAGAGCACCTCTTATGAAAACGTCTTCTCTGGGATTGCATATGTTAGATAAAACATAACATAATAAACATACTGCTGCAGTTAAATTATGGAATTTTATGTTTGCTTGCTAAAACAAATACATTAGACAAATATGTACACTTTCACATGTTTGCCTATATACTTACAGGAAAAGAGGTACAACAAAAACCCATAAGGAAGTGCAATAACATTTTCAAAGTTTATGTATCTTGGGCAGACCCAGTGGCTTAATAGTTAAGGGATCCATGTGGATCCCTCGTGACTCAGTGAGAGTCAAATAATGGCCCCAGTGGCTTGAAAAACATGCCAGGTATATGTGCCCGAAATCCTGGTAGAATGGAGAAAGGGAAGACAAATGACCATGGCATGACCAAGCTCCATTAAGGGGTGCGTTTTCCCTTTCTCTCTATGTCTCTCTGTCTCTCTGTGTCAAGCACAGAATTATCTGGCAATATTTTTCTAATTTTATTTTATAATTTTTATTTACATTTAATTGTTGTACATCTTTTTTTTTAGAGGTTTTTATTTTTTTACAGGGCGCATGCACTCGCCACACAGACAGAGACAGAGAGACAGAATGTGAGAAATCACCCCCCGGGGGGTTGGCCATGCCACAATCCCTTCTCCTCCATTGTCCTCTCAGGATCTTGGGCACACACGCACATGCGCCCGGCATGAGTTTTAAACCACCGGGTCCGGGACGCGAACTATGGTCGACTACATGGGAGTCCAGCAACACAGCCATTACGCCAACTGCTGGTCCCAATTGTTGTACATCTTTATGGCATACAATATGGTCTTCAAAGTATGCATGCAGTGTGTGATAATCAAACCAAGGATATTACTTTTACTGTCTCCCAAAGATTATGGAGAGTTTACTCTTCATTATTATTGGTTTCAGTAAGTTTTTACATTTTAGTCTTAATTTCTTCAGTAGTTTTTACATTGTTCAGGAGTAAATTGTTTGGTTTTCATGTGTTTTTGTATTTTTAAAGGCTCTTTCTGTGGTTGATTTTGAGTTATTTCTATTGTTGTTTTAAAAAGATGCTAGATAGAGTTTCTATACTTTTAAGATTTATAAAGGCTTGTTTTGTGCCCTATTATTTTGTGAGCCTTTGAAAATATTCCATGTGGAGCTGATAAAAATGTGTATTTTGTAGTTGCTGGGTAAAATGTTCTATGAATGTCTATCAGATCCAATTGGTTTATGGTGTCAATTAGCTCTTTTGTCTATGCTTATTTTTTGTCTAGTTGACCTATCTAGTGATGATAGAGGGGTTCTGAAATCTCCAACAATTAGTGTGCTGCAGTTCTGTCTCTCTCCTGAGATCTAGCAGTCTTTTTTATGTATTTGGGTGTCCTGTTGCTGCATGTATAAATATGATTGTTATATATTCTTGGTGAATTGATTCCTTTAATATTATATAGTGTCCTCTTTTGTCTCTTTTTACAGTTTTTATTTTCAAACCTATTTATTCTGATTTTATCAATATCACAACTCCAGCCATTTTTTTGGTTTCTGTTTGCATGAAATTACTTATTCAAGCCCTCCACTTTTAGTTTATGTAAGTTTTTATCAATGAATTGTGTTTCTTGTAAGCAGCATAAATAAGGCTCTTATTTATTTATCCAGTCAGTCAATCTGTGCCTTTATTTATTTATTTATTTAGGTTTTAATCATAGGGCCCATGCACTTGCCAGAGAGAAATAGAGAGAATAAGAGGGAAAGTGAGAAATCACACCCCCACCCTCCCAAGGAGAGTTGGCCACACTGCAATCCCTTCTCTTCCATTCTCCTTCTGGGATTTTGGGCATGCATGCACACATGCCCAGTGTGATTTTCAAGCCACAAGTTGCAGGACACAAACAGCAGTTGGCCATGTTGGAGTTCAGTGTCTTAACCACTGTGCCACCTGTTGGCACATTGTATGTCTCCACTTAATATATACTGACTGTCCACACTCTATGGTAGAGACCAAAAGACTGGAGGACATAAAAGCATTGAAAATTGTTATGGACACTAGAGACAAAGTGGAAGGACATTGTGGGAAGAGTGTAGAAAAGGAAATTTTGGGAAAAAATAGAGAGGTAAGACATTTGTGGGACACAGATATGGTTTATTATCTGTTGGTGAGGATTTACATAGTATTCCAAACAGGGCTAGACTGAGGTGTATATCATGCTGGATAAAGTCTTTTTACAATCTAAATGATGTATAAGGATTGAATGTATATATAATTATAATAATTTAACTAATAAACAGCTTTCAAAATTTTAAAAACTGAATTTTAAAGATAGTGTTCAAAATATTTGTTATAATTTTGTTTGTGACTCTATAATAACATAGACTGTGTGTTTTAAATTTTTTTGGGGGGGAGAGGTTTTTGTTTGTTTGTTTGTTTGTTTGTTTTTTGCTATAGGGTGCGTGCGCTCGCTAGACAGACAGAGAGAAACAGAAAGCAAGAAATCACCCCCCAGTGGGGATGGCCATGCCACAGTCCCGTCTCCTCCGTTCTCCTCTCAGGATCTTGGGCATGCACACACACGCGCCCGGCGTGAGTTTTAAGCCACCGGGTCCAGGACGTGAACCACAGTCGACTATGTGGGAGTCCAGCGACATAGCCATTATGCTAACTGCTGCTTTTTAAAATATTTTTGAGAAAATATTTACATGTCAACTACACAAACTGTTGAAAAGCAAATGCCCAGCACTCAAGTTACACATAAACTTCTCAATTCATCCCTGCCTACCAAGTATACTGTGATATCCCATCTGCTAGCAAAGATCAATCTCTTTTTCTTCCTTCAAAGTCTTTCTCAAGATAATCCTCTGGTGTGGTTGTTCTTTTGCAGTCTCTACTGATTACAATGCTGGACCAAAAAAGTCCAGGTTATTTTATGGTATGAATTCTTTCATATAACTTCTCTAATCCTCTCTGCCAGGCAGTGCCATTTATGGTGCCAGGCCATCTTTCCAAGAGCTTCTGTTGGCTTACTTGAGATCTACCTTAGTTCTGTAGTTTTCTGGTTAATCTTCAGATATGACATTCCAGTCAAAGCCCTGTCCAATAATGAGAATTTCCAATTTCTGATTCAATGCAACAGGTATTAATGAACATATGCAAATAACTCTTCTGCCACAAAATAAGACTATTCCCAAATATTTTCCAATTCCAAAGGGGTCAGGAAGGAAAAAAAGTTTATGTTTCCATTTAAAGAAACACACAAACAAGAAGGAAAAAATATTTTAACAAATTGCTGAACCTATCAACAGCTCAAAAGACAGCAAAATCCTTAAATTGGGAAAACAAAGCATAGTAAAAAAACAATCAGTAACATTTTCCTCAAAAGTCATAAAATTCTATTTTACCAGTTCAGTCTTACATTCGATCTCCCTTCTGTTGAATTTGCAGTGTTGCTGTGGTCCGATCCTTCCATTTAAATCTTGGAAGTTAACATTTAACTTTATTGATATTTTTCTGTCCCTAGCATTAAGTTGGTCATTTTCTTGGTTGCCTTTTGTTCTCTTATTTCTGTATGTGTGTCTTTAGTTTTCCTGGTAGAGGACTCCTTTCAGAGCTTCTTGAAGAGCAGGTCTAGTATTGGCAAATTCTTTCAGGTCTTGTTTATCTGAGAATGTTTTTATCCTTTCTTTACACATGAAGGATAATCTTACCAGGTATGATACTCTTGGTTGAAACTGTTATTCACTTAACATTTTGAATATATTTTCCCATCTTTCCTTGCTCACATTGTATCTGATGAGAGGTCTGATTTTAGCCTAATGGGACAATCTTTGTAAGTAACCTGACATTTCTCTCTTGCCAATTTTAGAATCTCATCTTTGTCTGTATATTTTGCCAATCTGGCTATGATGTGCCTTGGAGAAGATCTTCTTGAGTTGCTTCTATTAGGGGTCCTTTGTATTTCTTGGGTTTGGATATTTAAATGCCTCTCTAGATTTGGAAATTTTTCTTCCAGGATTTCATGGAGTAGATTAGCAGTGCCCTTATTAGTTTCTTCATCTTCTGGGATACCGATTATCTGGATGTTTGGGCGCTTAATGGTGTCTAATATTTCTTGTATAGTATTCTCATTTTGGGGGGATTATTTTCAGTTTTTTTGGTTGTTTGTTCTAGATCAGAGATCTTGCCTTCATCATCTAATAGCTCCATTAGATTCTTTTTTATAGTATGTATTTTCTCTTTCAGATCATGCAAGAACTTCCTTACCTCTTGGAACTCGTCTTTTTTCTCCTGCATTTTCTGGAGTTCATTTTTCTCTCAGCTCTCACATGTCATTTAGTTTGTCACTATGAATATTCTGAATTCTCTATCAGACATTTCCATGAGTTCTACAGTACTGTCTGTGGACGATGAAGGATTGTTATTTTTCCTTAAGAGAGAGAGATTTTCTCGGTTTCTGATATTTCTTGTGCCTCTACAGTGGTTTCTGGTCATTCTGTGATAAAATCTCTCCTCTGTGCTTTGTAACGTGGTATCCACAGAAAGAGATTATGAGTTCAGACTTACAAAAAGAAGTTATTTCCTTGTCTGAGTATTTTGGGAGTCTAAAAGGTGGAGTTTAGAGCATAGCTTCCCTGAACATGCCAGGACACACGTCAAATTTAAAATGGATTCTTGTCTGAGTATTTCTGCCAGAGAAATTTTCACAAATGTCCTCTAAGATCAATAAGTAGGTTTTCTATTTTAATTTATGTTCTAATCCCTAGGAAATTTTACATACAATGAAAAAAATTGTCTTCACCACTCTTTGTTTCTTTCAGTCCAACTAAAACAATGTGTGAGAGGTTGGTAAGGATGCTCTATGCTTCTTCTATCAAGATTCTCTATCTTAGCCTCACAGGACTAAACCAAGTTCAGCACAGAAGTGTGACATAGTGAGTTTTACAAGTTTAAACATAGAGGACCCTCATTTTACCTTGTATAATTTTCAACTCCATGTGATATCAATGTGCATTCACTTATTACTTGCCAATAGTTACAATTCTCTCTTCTCTTTTTCCCTGTAAGATAACTCAATTCATTGGGAGCGACCTCAGAAACCCAGGGCACCAGAAGAGCATTTGTACCAAGTCCAGGCTCCCTCTGCTGAGGTGGAGATTACAGCCTACGTGCTCCTTGCTTACCTCACAGCCCAGCCTACCCCAACTTCTGAGGACCTAACATCTGCAATGCACATTGTAAACTGGATCACAAAGCAACAGAATTCCCAGGGTGGCTTCTCTTCCACTCAGGTTTGTGATTCCCAAAGTCTTCTCTAGGTTCACTTGGCAATTAGGATGCTTGAAAACAAGGAAAGAGGAAACTAGTGTTGTAAAACACCTGAGAAACTCTTAGGGACATCAAAGTAGACAAAGACTTCTTAAATAAGACCCCCAAAGCTTAGGCAATAATCCCAAAAATAGACAAGTAGGATTACATCAGATTATAGAACTTCTGCACAGCAAAAGACACAATAATTAGAGTGAATTGACAACCCTCAGAATGGGAAAATATATTTTGAAGCTATACATTAGATAAGGGACTAATAGCCGTAATATACAGGAATCTCAATCAAGTCACTCGAAAAAATTTTTAAAAATTATCAACCCAATTAAAAGATGGGCAAATGAACTGAACAGACAAATCTCTAAGGAAGATATATGAACAGCCAAAAAGCCTATGAAAAAAATGCTGAACATCCTTTATCAAAAGAGAGTTTGAAATCAATACCACAATGAGATACCACCTAACTCCAGACAGACTGGCTAAAATTTAAAAATTAGAGAATGATAAGTGCTGGTGAGGCTATGGAGAAAAGGGAACTCTCTTACACTGTTGATGGGAATGTAAATTAGTACAGCCACTGTGGAGAACAGTATTTATAGGATCTATAGTTCTATTTATGGGATCCCTCAAAGACCTATAAATAGAATTACTATATGACTCAGTAATTCCACTCCCAGGTATCTACTCAAAAGACAGGAAGGCACTCAGTTGGAAAAATACTTGCACATCCTTATTTATTGCAGCACGATTCACAGTAGTTAAGACATGGAACCAACCCAAATGTCCATGAACAGACAAATGGATTGATAAAGTGTGGCACATATATACCACAGAATATTATGCAGCCATAAAAACAATGAGACCCTGGCATTTGATAGAAAGTAGACAAATGTGAAAGATTTACTGCTAAGTGAAACAAGCCAAACTGTAAAAGAGAGGCACTGTATGTCTCCACTTAATATATATCGAATGTCTGCACTCTATGGCAGAAACTGAAATATTGGACTATATAAAAGCATGGAGAACAACTGTGGATACCAGAGACAGTGTGGGAGGAGGATGGGAAATGACAGAGGGTGAGAGGGAGGGAAGGAAGGAGGGGGAAAAAAGAAGCAAATATATTTTTTAAAAAACTCACAAAATAAATATTTTTAAAAAGGAAAGAGAAGAAAATGTATTAAATCATAAAGAGGCATGTAGGGATATTTGAAGACAGTGATAATATGAAGGAAAAACTCAAGACATTCCCCCAAAACAACTTTCACTAAACCCTAAATTATCCTCAATCATCTGGTTAAGACCAGTAACTCCATTTGTCTTAACTTCTTTTTTGAGACCTGTTCTTTGAAGCATAAACCTCAAAGTACCATTAATAAGAAGAAATAGATACAACTTCTGGATATAGAGAATAGTCCTTTAGTATAATTAATGAAAATTAATTGCGAGTCTGGTCAGCACTAATGATTTTCTACTTCCTTAGTAGGAACTCTAGCGTGATTTTGATCATGCCTGAAAGGCAAAGAAAAAGGAATGATCAAACTTTTACTTTAGAGAGAAGCAAGCCCCCCATAATGGCTGATGTAAACTTTGGGGGAAATCCCAGTTGCCAAACATTAACTCTGTGGGGTGGTTCTTCATTTATCTCTTCCAGGACACAGTGGTGGCTCTCCATGCTCTCTCCAGATATGGAGCAGCCACTTTCACCAGCACTGAGAAAGCTGCACAGGTGACC